TGTAGTGTATAATAACAACTTTAATATTGTTCTTAAGTGGTCCGAAATTATCCCATTTAAATTGAAATAAAATTAGCTTGAAAGCTATTATTTTGTGATCAGCAATAGATCGCTGACGATCCCTGTCATCAATACTGACATCTTAACCTATTGACTCGCTAAACGGCTCATTATTAAAACCCTCCCATAACAACTCGGAAAGAATCCGCATTTGCGAAATTCTTAACAAAAAGCCAAATTAGCAATCTGTCAGCGCCGTATCATGCATCATTCACTTATTCCACACCGTCACATCAACTAATTGGTCGACCTTAATATGGAGAGTTACTGATGGAGGTTCTTTGGTGCACTCGATTTTTCTTTTTTCAAACTAGGGTGCACGTGAAAGGTCCACGTTTATTTTTATAATTGAACTAACTGCACTTTTCGAGAGGTGGATCTACCGCTCTCTTGCCTCTTTCCTCTTCGTTGGTTTTGTTTTAGTGCGGGGCCAAGAGGACTTTTTCCAACAAAACGGCGATAAAGATTTTGATTCCTGTCATTTGTAATTATACATAAAATACATACAAACAGACTTAAAACTTGCGTTACGATGGCGGGCTAGACAAGAAAACAACTCTTTCGGCAAACATCAATTTACTTCTTCTTCGTCCAATGATTCTCCAGAAAAACAAACCTCTATTGCAGCTACAACCTCTTCATTCGATCCATGTTTTAAGCTATTGCATAGCTTTTATCGCGGGCTTTGAGCGCGGCGACCGAATCAAGAAATTCCGTAACGAAAATAAACCTAACACCCCCCACTCCGACCGGCATAGCGGTGCAGCATTAAACAATATTAACTTCTCATTTATTCAATAAAAGAAAATCGAAAAATCGAAAAACCGAAAAATTGAAAAAATCGAAAAATCGTAATCGAAAAAGAGAAATAGAAAAATCGTAGAATCGAAAAAGAAATTTCGTAACACCCCCACTCCGACCGGCACAGCGGTGCGGCGTTGAAAGCCGGCATCGTCTAACATCGTTTCAGTTCGGCAGACTTCGGCACGGTGTTTGTGTGCGTGCGACTAGACTAGAATTTGAAAATGAATAATGATCCACAAGAATCCACAAAAAAATATGGGACCACCATTAACAGTAACAAAGCCTATACATAACACACATTAATAAGAAGACAAACGCACATCTAGGCCATAAAACGAGAAAAAAAAGTAACGAACCATAAATCTGCAGATGACATCTAAGTGTGGTTGTGTAGAAAGTATGAAGCTGCTTTTTGATTTATTTAAATAGTTGAGGAAAACCGCAGGAAGGCACAACTGGACACATCAGAAAACAATAATTGAAACGAGAACTCATAGTAAAGAAAATAAATAAAATACAATTATTCAACTGGTATAAACAAGTAAATATAATAGGACAGAAAAGCCGTATACAGGAAGAACAATAAAGATAAAGAATGAGAAAAAAGGGGAGACCAAAGAAATTAAATTTCTGAAATTAGAATCGAGGGTTGAAGTAAGAAATTAATTAAGAATGGTCGAAGAATAATTATTATAGATGCGATAAGGGAGAGGCTATAAAGATATACAAAAATTATGTTAAATGGTTTTACAATTTCAAAGAGGTTTTTCGGCATAAATGACAAACCTGTATCCTTCAAAGTGGGCTCCGCGGAGCCCTGGGGCTCCGCAAAGCCTCCGTGTGAAAATAATCCTCATAATAAAAAAAATACTATGAAGAAGTTCGTCACAAAAGGGAGGACCTAAGAATCTGATTTTGCTTGGGGACTTTTTTTTAGAAATGTCCCGGGGTTGCAAAGTATTTAGGGCTCCGTCAAATATTTTTTCGCTTTTCAAAAGGGTTCCGTCGCCAAAAAAGTTTGAGAAGCACTGATGTAGATAATCCGAAGTAACCACAGATTACATAGTATTTACTAATTTAGCCATAAAGCCCCAGACTAATGTTGATCAACAGTTCTTTCATCTGCTTCTTCGTTGGTTTACGAGGCCTAGTTTCGTGTATGAGTAAGCTGTTAATCTTGCGAGATGTAGGTGGATCGAAGTATCGTTAAAATCTATAAAAATGACATATCCACTTTTTTTTAAATAAACTCACGGATGACTTTTGAAAAAAAGGGGAAGTATAAAATTTACCGTTACAATATGAATGCTTTATTTAGTACGAATCAAAATTAATTACATAGTGTAGGACGTTTATTTATGTATATAAATATTGTGTATGGTATATAATTTGTAGCATTTACCAATTCTTGACCTACAGGTTAATTTATTTTTTAAATGACTTAAAAAACTTTGTATTGATTTTCCGCATAACGTAATATTGGTACACAAAATAATATTGCAATAGACAATAGATATTTTCATCCAAAGCCATTTTAAAGTTACGATGAGCATTGTGCCATCTTTCAGTTTACATAGCAAGTAATAGAAGCAAGAATTAAAAAAAATATATATTTTAAAGGAACCTAATCTGTAAATTGTAATTTCCAAAAATATTAAATACTAAACTAGTTATATTTGCTGTCTATAGGCGTCTTTTTTTGTCAACGACATCGACTATGTGGAGACAAAACGGCAAATGAATGATTATATTTTATTTCTATATAATATTGAGCCAAAATACTAAAACTTAAAAAATACAAAAATTAAAAATGTAATCTTAATTTGTTTTTATATGTCAAAATGTAAAGGAAGAAATGTATGCTGACGCTGTAACCGTAGACAGAGCTAGTTACTTCATGTTTAGTCTTGGCGAAATGATAATTTACAGATTCCTTTTGAAAATTATGCTTCTATTATTTGTTATGTAAACTGATAGATGACATAACGCGCATTTCAACTTCTAAATTACTTCCGATGGACACATCTATTTCTATAGCGAAAGAAAAGAGATGTTAAGCTATTTTGCATAGCTTTTATCGCGGGCTTTGAGCGCGGCGACCGAATCCAAAAATTCCGTAACGAAAATAAACCTAACACCCTCGAAAAATCGAAAAACCGAAAAATCTAAAAGTCTAAAAATCGGAAAATCGAAAAAGAAATTCCGTAACGAAAATAAACCTAACACCCCCCACTCGGACAGCGGTGCGGCGTTGAAAGCCGTGCATCGTCTAACGTCGTTTCAGTTCGGCAGACTTCGGCACGATGTTTGTGTGCGTGCGACTAGACGTATGCGTGTAGACTAGCTGCTAACTGCTCATAACTGATTCTATCTCTTTTAGACACAATTTCGGAATAATTGAATTTGAAAATGAATAATGATCCACAAGAATCCACAACAAAATATGGGACCACCATTGACGCGGTTTTTTCCAGATATTTAGAGGATATCAAGTCTCAAACTTATGTTTCTTATTTCAGTTACCATAAACCTATAGTTTCAATGATAAAAATTCCTGAATAACCTACATGTATTGTAAGATAATAAAAATATTTTAAACAATATTAACTTCTCATTTATTCAATAAAAGAAAAAAAATTGTTTTCTTATCGGTCACCATGCTCAAAAAGTGTAACTTGAATTAATATCAAAGAAAAAAAATACTGCATAAATAAAATAAATAATTATATATGCATAAGTTGATAAAAAATGCTATGCAATAGCTTTACCGCGGCAGTCCCCGAGTGCCACACGTATTATATTAATGGCGAGTCAGGTGAAAAGAAAAATAGAGTTACTCAAAAAATTAAAGCAATTCTTAATTTACCCAGCTATTCTGAAACCACTTTAGATCTTTTTGTTTAAACGTCATGTGGAATGGATCAACAAAGAAATAGTAATTCCCAACACTATTCAGCAAATAGAAGCGACTAGTGATCCGCAGCCAAGTACTAGTCGCAGTAGGCCTCCCAAGCCATTTGAGGAAGCTTCCTAAGAACTAAACTCGGAACTAAAAGGCGCCGCGTTGAAGATCTCGCCACAGAACTAGCCTCAAGAACACCAGAGAAACGTCAAATTATCTCGAGTTGACACAAGTACTTATCAGCCCCACCCTGATGTAACGCCCCAACAGCTGGTAGCGTTCTCTTTGGATTTGGATCTCTTGGAAAGAAAATACTTAATATTACATTTTATCAATGCGTTACATAAAAAGTGTTTTCCCAATATAAAGGCTCTCTGAGACATAAAAAAATAATTTTTGCCTTTAAATATATGTGCGTTTGAAATACATGCCGAGGTCAATGCAATTTTAAGCTTATTCGTAAATGGGGGTTTGATGGAAGTTCGGGTCACAGTACTTACAAACAAAAGTTCACTGAAATCTCGCATACGGATTAATTTTTGTTTGTGATTGTTATGGTCCCAATAAAGTTAATAGATTCGTTAACTGATCAGGAATTATGGGTTAACCCTCATCTATCATCTACCCTTTATTGTCGCCCCATAAAATGTATATATATGAAAGAAAACGAACAACTGATTAGAGAACAAGAGTCTTCCAAGAAGAGTAAAATTGAAAATCTAGTTAAGTATAGTGAAACAATTAATACCAGATTACTAACAGTTGGTTTTGAATTTGATTTTACAATGTTAGAGGCAGCACATGTAATATTCTTTCAAATACAAGTTTCAGTTCCATATATTATATTTGTGGGGCGACTCTTAAGGAGATGAACACTAAAAAAGTTGCTGAAAAACCTCCTAAGCCAGAAAATTACCGCTTTGGTTTATCCACCTTACATTGTTAGATTAGATTTTTCGAATGTTGTCTCCATATTTCTTATCAGATTCCATTTAAAAAATGGCAGGTAAGAGGAAGTGAGGAAAAAGAAATTATGGAAAAAATTAAAAAATCAATTCAAGAATTTAAAAGCTGGTTAGGCCTAATTGTGGATAAGCCAAAATCCGGATATGGTACAACAAACGACAGGAATACGGCTAGAAGGTTTTTCGGTAATTCTAAAATAAGTTCTGAAATTACAAAAATAGATAAAGATCTTATAGATGTTTTACCTTATTTTAAGAATCAATTGTAGTGGCAAGAAAATAGATTTAGTTAAATTTAAATTATTATTAGAAGAAACTAGGCAGTTATATTTAAGTCTCTACAGCTGGTATTACATGCCGAGCAGCCTACATAAAGTGTTAATGCATGGTTGTGATATAATTGATTTTTTTGACCTCCCCATAGAACTTCTTTCTGAAGAAGCTTTGGAAGCTACTCATAAAAATATTAGAAACAGTCGATTATATCACACACGAAAAACAAATAGGATACATACGAATCTAGACCTTATCAAATACTTATTACTTAATTCCGATCCGTCAGTATCAAAGCATCGTAAAACTGCTTCCAAACAATTGCATGCTAATTTGACTGATACTAAAGCATTTATGGTAGATGATGCAGCTCCTTCTTTTACACAATCTGATCTGAATATTTTTTTTTTGGAAGATTTGGAATTGCATGAGTAGTAGTAACGATTCAGATACCAGCCAGTAACTTTTTAAATTAAAATGAACCATTTATGTATATTATTTTGGCATTAGTTTTTAATTTGAATTTGGCAACATATTGGTATTTATCCCAAAAAATAATAATAAAAATCGGTATTAATGGGAAAAAATGTATTTCATTTTTATTTTTGTTTTTTCACTCTTATCGCGTTAAATAAATATTTTTGTACTACAGTAAAATAGCAGCCAACGTATTTTTCCGATCTTTAAGAAGAACCAAAATCAACACTATGTATATTTCGATTTTTGTCCAAAAAAGTAACATTTTTCCGCACTGTGTGTTGACCGGAATTTTATATTTTATTTATTAAAAATATTTGATGCATAGGAGGATTCCCCACTTCGAACACTCCCTGATGGGTTCTAATTAACAGTGCTGCTCCTAAAGTGGCGCTGGGAAACAGTTACAAAGCCGACCTGTAGGCGTGCAGGAGTATTAGAATACTAGCATTCCTGCACTATGGAGTCTTTGACTACTAGTACTCCATAACCTACATATCACACGGGGCTAATGGCCTAAGTCTAAGTTGTCGAAGCCGAAGACACTAATAAAAAAATGCTTGCGACTGGTTTTTAAGTTACTCAGCGTTAACCCTCCAGGAAAAAGCTAACCGATTGTAATGTTTTTTGTTGGCTAATCTTACTGTAACATCAATTGGCAATCCCCGTTTGTAAAAATTATACAACACTACACTAAAATTTAAATAGTTTATAAGTTTAGGAAATTAAAAAAAACAAATAGTAACTTCTACACTAATATAATAGCAAAACATTTGTTTTTATAATTAGTCTAATGTGAGTTTGTGAAACAAGTAACACATTAGGATTTGTTGCACTGGACACATTTCTATCTAGTTCTTGCCAATAGAATGAAAATTGCGAATAAACAAGAATAAACATGTTCACACGGTGTGAGATACACTATTTTTGTCAAACAACAATTATGCTAATTATGTCAATATTTTTATGATTATGCATAATGAGTTGTTGGCTATGATCTAGCAGGACCAAACAATTTTATGGGTATGTGGCAATTAACGTGTTAAAAATGCTTTGCGAATACGGATGTTAATAATATTGGCTATTTTATGACGTACAATGTTTTTATATATAGAGATACATTGTTGATAGCTATTAAAATAATAAGCCCATTCTACACATGCCACTCAACTCTATCTAGTTTAATTCTGACCTGTTTATTTACAGATCGTGGTCGTGAAACGATCTAGCGATCATATATTATTTTAGTTTTCGTCTAAATCTTCCTTGCGTTCCGTTTCGGTTTGTTTGACAATCGTGGAAGAAAAGAAGAGAAAGTTAGTTGTAGTCATAGTAAGTAACATCGTAATGAGGTCTTCCATCTTAGGACGATTTATGAAGAAATCAACCGATTCCTGGGTCTATGTACTCTTAATGCATACTGTCGCATATTGTGTATATGTGCATTCACATATTATACAGTGGGTATTCTATTTTTTTTTTATTAAAAACAAATACACCAAATGTGGGTATTTCATAAACAAATTGAGAAATAATGAGATAGAAAACACAAAATCAGTCCTACATACAATAAATCGTTGAAATAACAAGAAAAAATTGGCAATAAAAATAAAAGCATAAGAAATTTCAAAAAAAAAATTAATAATTATTCCTATCACATTTTGTCACGAAAAAGGAGTGCTTGGTTGGATCTTTGTAAAACATTCCGAGATTTTTCAGTTTTAGCTCTACTCGCACATGGAAGCTATGTACATTATGAAATTCCACAAATGCAGTTTTTATTAAGGGCCGATTTCATAATCAATATTAAAAGGTCCATTAACTAATGGAGTCGAACTAAAACTGAAAAATCTCGGAAATCGAATGTTCTACAGAGATCAACCAAGAGCCCCTTTTTTGTGACAAATTGCTTGAGGAATAATTATTAATCTTAACTTTTATGAATTATAGGGCATTCAAAAAGTTTGGATTAAAATTGTTTTCTTTGCCTTTGATTCTACAACAATGGGTTATCGTAATTAATCGAAATAGAGTGTGTTAACTAATAATGGCGATTAATTAACGTACATATTTTTAAGTTACAAACCGTAAGGGAAGAAATTCAGAAAATTATGTATTCATGAAATTCACTTTCTCGCCATGTAGAACGAAAACTGAGGCGTTTACAGAAAAATTATATTTAGCTTCTCTTAACCTTCACCTGGCATGCTCATCCTGAGTAACATACCTGGAAAATCTTTGTAAAAATTGAAATATTGATTATTTTGTCTCAAAAAAATTCAGAGATCCTCTTTAGATATCACTTTAAACTGTAGAATAGTCCGAGTTGAAAAATGAAGATCACCGTTCATAAAAAATCCGTAAAACTGGAAAACTTACAAAAAAAATCATAACTTTTTGTTTTTTGATAAAAAAAGGCTGACATTTTAGCTGTGTATTCTTCTGTTACATCACAAAAGAATAATAATTATTTTCATGTGTCTTTAAAAAAAAGTATTTATTTTGAGAGCGCTATCCCGCTGGCCTAGGTATAAAAGTATATCCCTTGACTACCGATAGATGTCGTTACGAGTTTCAATTTCGAAGATTTAGATATCAAAAATCGACGAGAAAGAGCGTGGAGTATGTACATACCCCAGGTAAAGGTTAATAATTAGTTAAGATCTACAAGTATGTTAACGGTACTTTTTCTGAAATACAGTGCAACCTCGATAATCCGAAGCCACGCTTATCCGAATTACGCTAATCCGAACGCAAATTGTGATGCGAAATAGTCTGAACGCCGCCTCTGTAATCCGAACGCTGACAGGAAAAGACCTGCAGCGCGGCCCGCGTCGCCCATATGTAGTTTGATAATGTATTTAAATGTACAAAAATCAATATACATACATAGATCTAAAGGTGTAAAAATGTGTAAGAGGTGTTTTATTGTATATTCGTTAATCCGAACAATTCGATAATCCGAACAAGGTCTGACAATTAGGTGTTCTGATTAAAGAGGTTGCACTGTATCCTGTATTTTATTTGTGGTATTTTATTTGCGATATTAATCTTATTTCAATTTTTGATCAAATATTTGACTCATTGAGACTTGTAAATATTAAATAACTAATTAAAATATGAACCAAACAGACTTTCTTGTAAAATCAGCTTTGTGTTTTATTAGAAATTAAAATGGGATATGATCTATACATTTTTGTAATAATTATTGGTCTTAGTATTAATTTTTTTTAACGAACCAGTACTCTATATAGACGTTTATTCAAGTATAATGTGACCTATAACATATGAGTCTAATATGCTTGTTTAATGTTTAAGTACAAGTATTATCTTATATTGTTCGTTGGATCTATAAGAACAATTGAAGGGGTTAGAAGCAAAATGGTTCAAGTGATATTTTTTTTTATAAGTACATTTAAACCGTTTAACCCAGATCAAACTACACGTTTTCAATAACATGCTTTTTAACCAGCTGACAGATGTTAAGACATCAAAAATTACTTGTATCATTTTACCACCAAAAAAATAACGAAATATCTACTTAACTAATTAAAAAAAAAATGTCACTTGAATCCTTTTACTTCTAACCCCTTCAATTCTACAGGGGGTCTCTACTGTTTCATAGGGACAGTATTGCTATTTCTTAAACGGTAACAGATAGAAAGTTGGTTAAATTGAACAAAAGTTGCACAGTTTTGTGCTCACTAAAGTGGTGCCAAGACCCCTATTATATTTACAGGGACATTCAAAATATCGGACAAAAAAATGAAAATTGTCATTTCTTTAAATTCATTTATTTTTTGTCTGATATTTTGAATCTCCCTATAAATATCAAAGGTTTCTAGGAACCACTTTAATGAGCACAAAACTGCGCAACTTTTGTCTAATTTAACCAATTTTCTGTTAGGTACCTACCGTTTAACAAATAGCAATACTCTCACTATGAAACAGTACGGATCCAGTATAATAGTTCATTTTAGAGTACATACAAATAAAAACGGTTTACTCCACGTTGAATGCAGTTAACTTGTTTTGTTGTAGTAAACTGACGCAAAAAGATAAAGAGTTGGGCGACAAAAAAAATAGTTAAATATTTGACAGATCTTTAATGTCCGGTTTTACTATTTAGGAACATAGGTATATGATTTTTGTTTTCTATAATATGTATTGTTTTATGATGCATGTTTATCAACTGTAGTGTAATTTTCATCAAAATTTAAAATGTTATTTTTAAAAACCTATTTAAAAAGAAATATTTTTAAATATTGCTAGTCCAGGAGGACAAAATAAATTGTTTTTATTGGAGTTTACTATTCTGATATCATCTTTAGTTCATTAGAGCCATTGTATGTTTTTAAATTGCCACGACGCCGTATGTGCATACGCGCGAAATGACAGATGACAGCTAGGGCTCTTACTTATATCTTAGGTTAGGAAAATAATCTAAAGATTAGACGAATAAACGATCAACTCTACGAAATGATTCCTAATTCACGACATGACGACAAGTCGTTTCTTTGATCATTTAACTCGTGTTTCTATTTGTTATTGACGTGTGAAGAATACCTATACGAGTTTGGCTAGTACTTTCACATTTAATCGATTGAGTCAACTTTTAAACGATTATTTGTGTTTTCACGGGTCAATTAAACAATCAATAAATCGAATTTGGACATCATTAAACCTTTTTAATTTTTAAGGATCTGAATGTTTTTAATTGTCGACCGCCCGACTTACCTTCAAAAATGTTTATATTTGCGATATATCTCGACAAATTGCACTAAAACAAGTATTAAAAGTAATTTTAAAAACAAACATCAAAATCACGCAGATGCCATCACCACATTTTTGACAAAATGGTACCGCCTTACTAACAAAAAAGAATCATGGAAATCGGACAAGGTGCTAAAGAATTATGGTTAAACATACATAAACAATGAAGAGTGAGAATTTTCTCA